ATTTTAAGGGTCCATGCTGGCTTGAACTCTGTAATTGCTGCTTGTGACTATATTTGGAATGCTTTGAGAATGTCATCATTATTTTAAAGTGTGTGTATAATGTGTAATTATCACAAATCATTTAGCTGATACTAACTACATCGTTTGTCTTTCTTTCTTGTCTTCTAGGTAAGTTGAAATGGATGTGGAGAAACGTTCAGGCTGGGACTTTGTTAGAGGTGTTGTTGAGCTGCTCGACCAGCATCACTGCTACAGGGCACAGCTGCAGCTGCTTCTGACTGTTGTATTGATTTCAACACTTGGATTATCACATCTTCAGCTGAGTAGCAAAACTGTGCATGTATGGGAGTGCTGTAGTGTTAGTGAAGACAACCCACTCAGTATGACCTCCTGCGGGCTTATTTATTATCACTGTCATCAGTCAGTGGTGGCTGCTGGTCTTTCAAACAGGGGAAGCTCACTTTAAGTTTACATCATAAAATTTGTCATATTGTAGCGAGGCAGTAACTTATAAAAGGAACATTTAATTGAAGTTTTTCAACCACACTCATGCCATGTATCCACAGTAAAACACACCTCAAAGATTTTCAGATGGGTTGTGTGTGTACTGTACAAATGGTGAAAATGAGCTATATCACTTATTGAAAAAAGGAACTCTGGACAGCACTCTGTCAGAAGACTCCACTCACAAATATCCGTATGGGACTGAGCTTGAAATGCAACGATGCCAGTGTGTATTTCCAAAGCGCTGTCAATCACAAAGGGGTTCAGCCTTTTAGACAATTCCTCCAATCATCATGCATACACTGAGCGTCCTCTCCTGCCTACCACTCCATTAGGTCCCACGGAAGTTAACCCTCCCTGGAAGTGATGATTTTGTCGCATTTATCCGATGACCATTTAACTTTGCTGCATGAAAAAAAACCTGCACAGCGCTGTCTCATAGGAATGCTTGGAGGCTCCGCGCCCACCGTGCTGACATGAGAATGTATGACAGGGAGGTCGCGTTCGAAAACTGGTGATAAACAGCTGACGTTTGAACATCATAGTCATGATGTTAAATGCATCCTAGCACACGTTTAATGCAATGTAAATTCCTATTTTAATGTGAATTCAATAGTGCATATTTGACCATTTCTTCTATGAAATTTTAGGGGAAGTTCAGTCTCCCTTGTTGTCTCAGAGTAATTGCCCCTGGTCATCATATACATAGTCCCACCAGTATTTATTCTCATTAGAAGTGGTCACAATAATATGTTGTACTGATTCTGACCCACACTCTCTAAAGTAATCAATGATTTTTGCTCACCAATAAACCAATCTGAAACAAGGCTTTTCTCTATAATGAAACTGCAGTACAAGTGACATGCTAACCTGCTGACATGTTTCCTTCTAATCGTCTTTCTTGGCTGTCCTTTGCTCCAGCCTTCTCTGAACCAATTACCTGAGCTAACTACCCCTGAGCCCACAAGTCTCTGTGGGTCATATTCCTCAGGACATAAGGAGCGGTCACATTTTGTGCAGGTTGTAAGCCCCAGTATGGAGGATTGCTTCAAAGGTAGAAGCAGCTGGAAGTCCTTTAATCTCTGAGACCCTCAGCAGATTACTGATATAATACACTGCCTCTCTGTTAGGGAAGATCTGGATGAGATTAGTAACCAGGCAGACTTACCACAGACACCTGCTTTTCTACTTCAACTGCAGGCTGAACCAGGACCTGCGCTTCAATCAGAGCAAACAAAGCTTTGTATAAGTTGTGGAGGCTTTGAACTGAGGCTTTGTTCTGTAAGGAACCAGTTAAGAAAAGTGGGCTGTAGTTCTAAAGAAAATTATTTAAAAGAAATCACTTGGTTTCTTGTGTCAACTGTTCTCTAGATAAACCAATAGTCTGCCTTAGTCTGCCCTATGAACTCCTGAGTTACCATTCATTTACTGCAGCTGATATCATCATCATTATTCACATTCATGCAGCATGTTGCTTGATTGCTTCAGCAGTGCTTGTTGTAAAACATTGGTTTATACCACTGTTTGTCCATATAGTGACCGAACTGGCACTGGATGTCATAATGACGTTGAAAAAAACCTTTGGACTCTTATATCGGACAGATGTGAAATTTTTAATTGGAATGAAAATCAGGTTGATGATATTATAAATGTCAAATGATGTTAGAATTTCATATTGTGTGGACATTAACATTATGATGTTTTGCAGACAGTAGGTTTTTTGTTCATAACTTACTACTAAATGAGATGTTTAGAAGACCTTGGATTTTAATTACGCAACAACACAACTTAAAACCAACAAAATATCTTGTCATCTGTTGTCAGTATTCTATCCAAATATATCAGCTTTGTCAGTGCCGTTCACATTTACATATGATGCGCTAGGTATCCTGCTGTGTTTGTTGTTGACGTTCCAGGATGGCGTGTTACAATGGTCGTACTGTCTCTGCTACTACAGGCTGTATGTTAATATAGAAACAGTCATAAATGCAAAGCCATTCAAAATGCACACTTGGTTGTACACTTGCTTGACTGTAAACACCATCATGTTCAAACTCCCTATGTACCAACCACTCTGTGCACTGGTATAGACTCATGTTATACACCAGAACATGTAGACTTTCTAGGTTTTCCACATTCTTGCATAATATGGGGGCATTCATCTGTGGTAGGTGGAAGTATGTTGAATATTGATATTGATGGTAAGCTTCAAACAACATGTAGATCTTCAGGGTCTTTTTCAGGCAAGTATCCATTTGAGCAAAAAGCTGATTATACAGGAAAAAAAATGGTAAAAGGATTCATGTTACAAAACATCACCGATCATACCAAAATGGTTTACTCTGTCCATAAAGATCCAGTGTCCTGAAATGGCCTCCAGCCATACAGGATCTGTGTAATGTCCTGTATGGGATAAAGGAGACAGGGGGATCTCTGCCGAGGATCTCAAACTACGCAAAGGGATTAAAAGGTCTGAAATGTAACCTGGACCCAGGCCATGAAGAGCCTTAAAAGTGATCAATGAGATCTTAAAATCTATCCAAACGCAGACAGGGAGCCAATGTAAAGATGCTAAAATGGGTGTGATGTGATTGCACTTCCTGGCAGCTGAGTTCTGTACAATCTGTAGTCATTTCAAAGTTTTTGGTTAAGACAAGATTGGAAGGGTCCAGGGAATAACCTGAGGGGTCATCAAATGAGAGAAGGAATAAGAAAGAAAGAAAGAAAGAAAGAATACCTTAAATAAAATTATATATTTTCCCTTATGTTTCTCAAATTTGTGATCTTGTGAAATATTGTACACTGTTTCCTCTTCAGGCATGAAAAAAACTTAAAATGAAACACTCTGAAAAGGAAAACTCAGTCCTTCATTGAACCGCTCAGGCCACAACCTGTAATCACATGAAAGCTTTAGTCGTTTTCAGGGATTAAAAATTGCAGAACACTGCCTAAGTCAACTGATTGCATGACCAGCCTGTTTAAAAAGCATTTTTAGGATGATGGGTGTTATTTTGTATTGTATGATGTCTAAATTGTATGTGGAGCTTTCATTTTCAATCACATGGATGTTTGCCTGGCAAAGACGACTTTTAAGTGCAAAAGTTCCTTCATTATTATTGGAGTTTTTTAGCTTTCCATTTTCATTTTGTGGACTACTTCTACTTGTCCTTTGTCCTGAACTTATGTCCTCAGATGTGGTTTGCTATTCTGATCGTTCACCTTTTTGAATTGTAATGTTGGGCCAGGCCATGAGGTGGCACCATGGTATTAAAAAGCAAAAGGGGTGAGGCCTTGGAAAAAAGAATCATTGCATTCAATGTCTTCATAGTGTTGAGGACTTTATTTGGTGCTGGATACCAAAAGTAGCATGTGGTGTGAATATTTATGTGTGTTCATGTGAATAGATGATTGTTGGCTGAGTATATGTTTATTTAAAGCTGCCTGATTTGAGACATTTGAGCGAATTGTGCTGTGAATACATTTCTACTTCATTACTTTAAGTGCCTCTTGACCTAGAGTGTTGGTAGCACTATAAATACTGTATAGTAGCAATGGGTAGGTGTCCTTTGCTGTTCTTTGCTGTTCCCTGGTGGTGTTTAAAATTGATAGGCAATGTTGTGGTTTCAGCACCATGGACAGGGACTGTGTGGGTGATGCACAGAAACATTGCATTCTTTGTAGGTTAGTGTTTTAAGTCGGTACTGTTGAAGTGAGCCCTGCTCCTGATATATTATGTAGAAGTTTTGGAGGTAATGGTGCATTAGATTTTTAGGTCATGCCACAGCTTCTTTGCCTTTACTGTGTCATGAAATCTAGACACAATATAGCACATGCAGATGCACCCAAAAGCTGTAATATACATGCAAATAGCAATGGCTAGCAAGTTCAAATAATATGTTTTTGCTGCAGTCAGGTAAAAATTTCATGCCCCTTAATGGTTTTCATGGCTTCAAGCTAAAATACTGTCTACACGGATAAAAACGACTTATGTGTTTTTCTTTATGTGTGTGTGTTTGCTCTGGAGCTGTGAAATCTCCTAGACACCGAGGCAGACTGTACCATTTCACACTTCCTAATAGGGGAAGGTTGAAGACACTGACTGAAGTCCCCCCCCCCCCCCCCCCAACTCCAGTAAAGTGGTACATCCTTTGCTCTTTTTACAAAGGACAGTCACCGATGCTTCCGTGTCCTGTATCCCTTCCCACATACGGTTCCTCCTAACTCCTCCCTCACCCTGCTTTCTCTAATCCCCCCCACCCCCACCCCTACGTCTTCCTCTGGTATGTGATGAGTGGGGAAGTCATGTAGTTATCAGAGGCTTCCCAGGTTCCCATAGGATCTGCTGCTACCTCTGCAGCCTGAGCAGTAACAGGGAGGGAGGGGCTCTCTCTAGCTTCTCTGCCTTTCTATTGGTCTCCTGTGTTACCTCCTGGTGGCGTGTATTGGCCCACCCTTCCTCTCTCTCTATTCCTGCCTCAGATGCAGTTACCCAGGCAGCAAAGAGGGAGGCTTTAGAGACGCTCACACTCTGCATGGGTGAAGAAAGCTGGTGGGTTAGAGGACTAGAGGATATCAGAGCTACCTCTATCCTCTTCCCACATTCATCTACTTGTGGCACTTTATCCTTTGGCGTAAAACAAAAGTCACCTGGTGAGGTGGGGGCTGGTTTTCTTGGATGACTGGCGTCTTTGCCAATGAGACAAGCATTCTGAGAGGACTTCCCAAAGTGATTTGAAATCTAGTTTTCTTCGTGTGGGAGTAGTGAGAGGGCAGCCATGGCTCACGCTGCGGCTCACATTAAAAAGGCCAGGTCCGAGATGGATCAACCTCCGGACCTGAAGGCTCTGGAGAAGGCCAAAGAGAGAAGGAGGCGTTCCCGGGAACGGGCTGAACGCAAGCGCAAGGTACTGGGCAGACTCCCTGGAATCACCCACCTATTCATCCCTTCTCACTCTGTGTGACCAATCAGTGTTTTACTGGTTACTTCATCCCACTACTAGTCATCCCTTCACCTCATCATCATCAAAGTATCACCTTAACCAAAAGATCAAGCACTGCAGAAGAGTTTCTGGTGCAGAAGCAATGATCACAGACAATCTGTCTTACCATTTTCACCTCCACCGTCATTATCATGTAGTGGCACAGGGGGACTATTCTATGGAACCACTCTTGTTTAGATGAAATGAAGCTGAGTCTTGCACAAGACTGAAGATCTAAAGCATCAAACTGTATTCTGTGATCAGTGCCATCAGTCCATTGTTACCCGCTGAATCACAAGATACACAAGTCACACTAAGCTGTGATTCCAGAACATGGCCATGATGACTGCTTGATCCCTGCTGTTGTCAGTGCTTGTCTTCATATCATCTTACACACTGCCTACAGATCTGCTTCAATCCATCCTTCATTCCACTCCTCATTCTGTCATCATGTGCCTGCACAAGTATTATAAATGACCTCTGGACAAGTCCTCAAATAATCAATCAGTGCTGCTGTCTCCCAACTTCAAGCTTCTCTGGGTGGGCACCATCTTTGTACAATATACTTCCTTCAAATACCTCTGCCTTTCCCTGTAGATGCACCTACGCAGAACAATCTCTGGTGCATAGCTAGGCTGTGCAGTGTATATTCACTCTATTTACTCACTACTAGACATATCCTCTCATGCAAACACAAACTCTCACTGCTGTGCATTTTTGGTGCTGTATCTTTGTGGGAAGTGATTTTAGAGTGAAGGCTTTACTCTAACAAGCTGTTTCAGGGAGTGCATCTGCTCACATGATTCTGTACAGGATTACTATTGATGCGTTGTTGGCAGCTCAGCGTGAACATGCACGCATACAGGCATTGGATACACAGAGGTTTTTTAATTGTTATGAAAGTTCGGTGAATTGCTAGATTTATTTTGATGCCAATTGTAGGGAAGGAATGGGCATTCTTGTCATATTCTAACTTGAGATATTTTAAAGAGGAGGTGTTAAGTCAGATTACTGCATAGTACTGTTGCATGAGATGGAAATAGAGGATGGCATAAGGAATTCTAACATTTGCATGGAGTGAATGGGCTACCTGCTTAATTCCAACTTGTGATATTCATGTAAGGGATAATACCTGCCAAGTTGTACCTTCCATGATTATAATGGATGACGATGTGGCCAAGAACCACCCAACAAAAAGCAGAATACGGTTTGCCTCAATAACTAAGCTTTCCTGTTGCTGTCAATATCTACAGTTTGATACAAATACAGCATTTCTAAATGCTAATCCACAGCCCACAACTTCCAACCTAGAGGTCTACACGGGTCTAAAATGATGAACCTCAACCCCAACCCAGAAACAAACCTGAATCAATTCGAGAAATTTGTTTCAAGATGCAGTTGAACCAGAGACTCAAAAAATAAGTAAATAAGTAATATAATTTGAAGAAATTTAAATAAATAAATAAATTATGACCCGACCTGTGCGTGTCCAAAATATAACAAACCCAACGCTGTGCATGTCTGAGGTGAGACAGACCTGAAATGACAAACACAAACACAAACCTGAACCAAACCTGAATCAACTCGAGAAAGTTGTTTCAAGGTCCAACTGAGCCTCAACAATTGAAAAATAAATGAATAATTTATATAGTTTTTAAATATATTAAAATAGATCAATTATAACCCGACCTGTTTGTGTCCAAGATATAACAAACCCAACACAGGGTATGTCTGAGGCAAGACCCGTCCGGGTTTATTGATAGACCCGACAAAACTGGTAATTAAATTGCTGCTTAAAATGCTGTTCTACTGCTAAAAATGTTATTTTATATTGGATACAACATATTGCTCTTACCCATCTTATATAATATTATGTAATGTTTCAGATGTCTGTATTCATTTATTTTATTCTATTGTCACTTGTTTTGTTGTTGTTGATGTGAGTGGAACTTGCCTGCTCATGACCAGTGTATGATGGTTCTAAGCAGGTTAGATCATGCATATAAGTATAAAGGCTTACACTTAAATATGGACATGTTACACATGGTTAGCTTGGCTAGATTATCCACAAGTCAGTAGTTCATTTCACAGAAAGCATGAGCACCACAGTATAATTCAGATCTTCAGGCGGCATGGCAAACAAGCGAGAGACACAAAAACAGTGATAAATACAGTACTTACCTTCGAAACGGTCATAAAATCTGAATATGTGCCTAGGCCTTGATTACTTCAGTCTGTAAGGGTCCACCAACTCAGACCTGACAGACCACAATAAAACATGGACCCAAACTTGTACAGGAGGTGTTTCTGGTCTCAGGTCTTAGAGTCTGGGTAGAGCCATTAAGACCTCTATTCCAACCGATCAAAATGTAGAATTTCTGGTGGTCATGATACAAAGAAAAAGAACAGACAAATTTGAAATGATATGTTAGCTTGATATAGTACATGCTGGTATTGTGTGAAAGGAAAATTGAGGATGACATGAGCTAGCATATTAACATTATCTAGTCTTAAATCTGTTATCAGTGTCTAAATGGAAAAAGTGGATTTCTAACTGATTCACTTTTCCTCCTACTGATGGGTAATGATTCTGATAAGGTCCATTACTTGCTATCAAAAACATCTTACAAAACAGAAGCCAATCATGACCTTTCTACACGTTTGGATGAAGGGTTGTTGTGTTGTTTTCCTCTTCACTGTACTGAACTGAACTGCACAGCAGATTATAACATGGGATTATTGGTGTGCCCTCTCTCTCTCTGCCTCTCAGCACACATACATACACACACCCCTAAAAGTGATTAATAGATTCAATTTAGTGAATTGTCCACAAATTGCCAGAGGGCAGACATTTAGATCACAGCAACACACACACTGCTATCAAATCACAGTTTTATCACCAGCGACTGCGTCCTGCCTGAATCCATTAACCCCATGTACATGGTACTTAGTGGCTATCAGAGGGCTTGGCATGGACAAAGCTTGGCTAAAGCGTGTTGTTATGAAATACTGAAACACATTGTGGATGTAATGTTGGATTTCCTCTCAAATACGTCGGCATAAATGCACAGTTGTGCTCACATCACAAATTATATAACAAAGCAGGGAAGATGCATTGTGGTTTATTAGTTTGAATGCAGCAAGGATCTGTTGCATGCTGAGGGATGCTCTGCAGACCCCAGACCAGTCTTTAACTGCCTCATCTGCAGTATGAAAACACTTTCACATCACTACTGTTGTACAGTGATGTAGGTTGGTAAGGTTTCAGGTTTTTTTTTAGAACAGGCCTTTTAAGATATTTACATCTGCAACCTTATTTACTACAAGTTTTTAACCTCACCTGCAAACAGAATTAAGCCTTTGTTTGAAACAAGCTTATTTTAAACACAGTTATTAAAGTAATTCACATTTTCCATGGTTTCATAAGTATATTTCATCATATTTTAGTAGGGCTGTTTGATTATGGAAAAAATCATATTCATGATTATTTTGGTCAAAATTTAAATCACAATTATGCAAACGATTATGTGGCGCACGTGATGACTTATATTGTTTACATGGTGGCATGGCATTTCTGTCTCTACATGGTCGCGCATTTACAATTCTCCTCTGCTCTCTGTATCGCGCATGGTGGAGTTCGGCCCTGATGCGCACACGCACACGCACACGCACACGCACAGACCAACCTCTCTCGCTGTCCCTCTGCCATTTTCCGCACGCTGTTTTTGAAATCTTCCGCGATCACCTTGATCACACTTGGACTCAACAATAAACTGACTAAATTTTGGTGGTCAAAGCTCAAAGTCACTGTGACCTTGCATGCGTCTCATTCTTGTAAACACAATATCCCAAGAAGGCCTTGAGGGAATTTCCTCAAATTTGGCATAAACATCCACTTGGACTGAAGTGGATGAAGTAGTTAAATCTTGGCAGTCAAAGGTCAAGGTCCCTGTGACTTCAGAAAACAAGACAAAACTATGACCAAACTTTACAGAAATGTTTAATAGGATAAAATGATGAAGTGATGGCATTTTATATCCAAAATGTCAAAGGTCACCTTCACTGTGACATCATAATGTTCTGCAAAAACACTTTTCTGGCCATTACTCTAAGTCATATCTCCGGACCAGAAGGGGAGATCGAAGAAGGGGAGTAACATTTGGTCTGTTACTGAATTGGTGACACTAATTTTGAAATTGTGCTGATTGTGTATATCTTCTGTGCTGCCAGGGAGAAGATGTGTTTGAAGCATCCATGTTTTCACAGACATGGATGTTAACTATAAGTGCAACTTGACTGGTTTGCAGAGGCATACAATCACAAAGTTAGTAATTCTAGTTTTGATAGCTGTTTACCAGCAATAAGTTTTAACACTTGCTGAGCAGATGTTGCTAGCTAAAGCCTTTCAGCAGCTCACAGGGCAAAGTTGTGGTCTTGATTTATTTTGAAACACTTCCTGAGTAAAATTTCATCATAAACCAATTAGAGGCAGAGTAGGGTGGGTATTCACAAGCACACAAGCAGGGTTGTCAGGTCCGCTTATCAGCCACGACTTTGGGCTTGTTTTTTTTTCGTAAAGTCGCTAACAAATATTGGTAAAGTGTTTCTAAAGTGGAGTTGCTTATTTGGGCTTGCTCTCTAAACGTCTCCTTTCTCTATATATATCCGTCTAATAAGTTATGTAAACTCATGATAGTATGTCAGACTGCAGGATGTTTCCACAGCTTCACTCCCTCCGCCCCTCTCCTTCTCCACATACACACAGGTGACGGTCAGTCAATGAGACTTTTCACATTTAAATTGCGCGATTAATGAAAGTTCTTTAACTTTTAGTGGGTGACAAGTGGGTGAAATATGGAAAGAATACAATAAAGATTTGTTGAAAGAGAGAGGATTAAAAGATTCGACTTCAAGAGGGGCACTGT